TGATGAGTATGATGAAACAATCGGAGATGCCTACGTAAAACTCAAACCTAAGGAATTTAATAGAGTATTAGAACTTTTCCGTTCAATACTAAGTTCGGCTCTAAAAAGCAATATTTATTTAGAAAAGGCTGTTTTAACCGGAATTTTAAGAATAGCCAAAGTTAGTTTATTCTCCGGTTTAAACAACGTTGCCGAGTATAGTTTGTTGGACGAAAGATTTACTGAATATTACGGATTTACTCAGGAAGAAGTTAATGAATTATTAACTAAATTACCATTAATTATTGATAAAAATAAAGTTAAAGAGTGGTATAATGGTTACGAGTTTGGGGGACAAACAGTTTATAACCCTTTGTCTGTTATGCGTTGCTTAAACGAAAAAGGAAAATTAGATAACTATTGGATAGATAGCGGTGACACAGAATTGATCGAGCAAACATTGATTTCTAACGAAATTCAAGAAGGTTTACAAAATCTTTTGGCTGGAAAAAAAATAGAGAAAAAACTTCACAAACAAATTTCCTTGAAACAAATTAAAACCAAAAAAGATATATTTTACAGTTTGCTAGTGTTTGCGGGTTACTTAAATCCTAATTTAACTGACCAACCCGGTATTTATGAATTGTCAATTCCTAATCGAGAAATTAGGCAAATTTATGAAGAGCGAGTAATCGAATGAGTGGCTCAGAAACTAAATATTGATGCTACTGAATATTACATTCTAATGAAACCTCTTCTGGAGAAAGAATTTGAAAAAATTAAAGAATTTGAAAAAAGATTGCGAGAATTTTTGCTAAGGTCCGGTAGTTATCATGACCAATCGGGAGAAGAAAAATATCATAGTCTCATGAACGGCCTTTTGAGTTATTTGGGATTAGAATGTATGGTCATTTCCAATTGTGAATCGGGTGATGGTCGTTATGACCACGCTCTAATTCCTCGGATTGAAAAATCTCGTGATATTGCTTTCATTTTTGAATATAAAAAGGCAGCCAACAAAGAAGATAAAGAACTAGATTTAGCCGCCGAAAAAGGTCTAAAACAAATAGATGAATTCAACTATGACATTAGAATAAAAGAGCATTCCCAAGTCAAACGAATTATTAAAATTGGGTTAGCCTTTCGAGGAAAGAAACTAAAAGCCCGATACAAAATAGAGGAAAAAACATCTGATGATTTTTGACAAGACATAACCGAAAGTCAAACTAAAACCGTATAATAAATAATAACTTAAAAAAATGAACGTACTAATAATTACTAATCAACAATTTCTAACTGAGTTAGAACATCGTTTGGCTAACAAAGAAATCACTCGCCGGAAAGTTCTTCAATTAAAAGGAATAAATATTAACTGATGCTTAGAATGTAGTGGAAACGATGAAATAGAAGACAATGGTTATTGTGCGAATTGTAATGATAAGTGAAGGTTAAGACCGAAGCAAGAAACAAACAAGAATTATGAAATGCGATAATTGTCAAGCTGAATGTAAAGTTTATGAAATCGGTTTAAACAAGAGGAGAGAAGATCATAAATTATGTGTCTGCTGTGATGTCCACTATTATGAAAAAGACATGAGAGGAGATGTTTGTAAATATTGCTCTAAGAAACAACGGAAATTTACGAAGAAAATATAAGTATTCCGGTATTGTAAAATCCTTGGTGTAATATACATACTTGGGAAAAAATTGAAGGATACGACGAAAAAAATAATCCTATTGTTTCCGCCACTCGCAAACAAATCCCCCTTACTTTAAGTTGGGGAATTACCATCCACAAAAGCCAAGGACAAAGCATCGAAAGATTAAAAGTTGATTTGGGTGGTTGTTTTGCCGCAGGACAAGTTTATGTTGCCTTATCTCATGCCACTAACCCTAATTATTTACAAATCATTGATTTTCCTTATTCTCGCTTATTTTGTCGAACCAAAGTGAAAGAGTTTTATCATTCTCTTTCTGCTGACAGCCCGCTAGTTTTTAGTGAAAGAAAAAAAGTGAAAAAAAACCTTGGGATGTTCCCCAAAAAATTAAAGACAAATGAAAAGAAATTTTAGTTATTTATAACGAACAAAAACAATGACCTTTTGAGGAAATATATAAATGAATTGAGGAGTGAGATGAAACAAAAAGAGAAAGTTATTTTCAATATTTTTGCGAGAGAATTGAATGGTCGATTAGTAATTACGAAAGTTTAACTTCTCACCAAGAATTATTAGAAAAGTTAAAAACTAATAATGGATAAAGATAATATTCTAGAAAAATGCATTATAGCATCTCTTTATCAAAGAGGGCAAAAAGTTTGAGAAGGAAATCATTGAGAAGCCGAAGAATGAATAATGAACAATATAAATTAAAACAATAATATGTTTGATAATAACAAATGATTTGAAATAGGTATTCCCGCAGCAACTTTAATAATTGGTTGGTTAATAGGTTGGTTTGGCAAAGGTTATTTTGGTTCTAGCAAACACAAAGAAGAAAATTAAACATGACAAAAGATTACGAGGAAATTATTAATGATTTAGAAACTCAAACTGACGAACTTAAAAACGGCACTACTACTATCAAACGCAGTCATCCTAAAATTAAGAGCGATATAGAAAAAATAAGGCAACTTCTTAACGCTAGTAACGAACGCTTTATCAAAGAAGCCAAAAAAACGAATCCGAGTTAATGCCAAGTGTGAGAAACTACAAACCACAGTAGGAGAATTAAAAGCCGATATGGCAGAAATTCAAACCAATTATGAGGATTTACAAACTCAAATAGTTGAAGTAGGAAAATTAGCCCTCGCCCAACAATCCATCTTTCCTTCGTAATTCTTATAGTGGTGATAATTGGTTTTGTTGTTTGGAAGAAGGGAAAGAAAATCACCAAAGCCAGTTTTTAAATTGTTCTAGTTCTGGTATAATGGATTAATTTGAATTAAGGCTTGTAATTGTTCTTGGTTAATATGTTCTTGTCATTGCTTCTTTTCTTGCTCTAACTCGCCTTTTAATAAGTCCAAATTTTCACTCAAAGAAATAATAGCACTTTCCATTTTCTCGTTGCTTAAAATACGGTCTTTTCAAATGCCATCTTTGATAAGAATGTCAAAGATTTTATATTTATTCTTAAATAACTCGATTTCTCCTTCTCACTGAAAAATATCCTTGTTATTTTCTAGCAAATTAAGCAAAGAATTATAATCCTCGTTCATTAAGGCTAATTCGTTCTCTTCATTCCCCAGAGAAAGTTGAAATTCTTTATTGCTCTTTTTAGAAATCCCAATATGAGTAAGATTACTAATGGCTTTAACCGCTTCGCTTGCTGCAGAAGGAATACCAAAGTCGCGATATCGGTTATGGCTCCCCCCACACCACCAATCGCATTACCTATTTCTAACGATACCGCATATTTGCCATTAATGAAAGTTTCTAATTTGTTAAGGCATTGTTGTAATTCCTCGATAGTTTTGGCCCGAGCGTTTAGAAAGATTTGTTTGGCATCCAAAAAATCCTTAACTTTTCTATTAAGTTCTTGGGAAAATACTGGATAATCTATTAAGAGTTTATTGGTTGAACTTCCCTCAATGGCTAATGGAGTTTTTTTCATTCCGTCTAGTTCTAATTTCAAGCGAGTAATTTCGTTTTGAAGTTGGCATAGTTCATCGATGTCTTTTTCTTTAAAGCCACTTTCTTTCAAGCGATTAATATTTTTCTCTTTTGCCTTTTCGTGGTAATGGCGTTCCGAGGAGATATCACAAGAAGCCAATGCGTCTTCAGCTTCTAAAAGGTCTTCGGTCGCGTCTTTTCTCTTATTAATAAATTTCTTCTTCTTTTTCTCTAATTCGTTTTCCTTTTCTTGGAGAGATTGGGACAACTCTTTGTTTAGTAATTCGTTGTATTTGACTTGTAAACCTTTCAACTCTTTTTCTAACTCTTTCTTTTCATTTTGAAGTTTTTCAATAAGTATTTTGTCCTCAGTGCTGACATTAATTTTTTCTTGAAGTTCTTTGATTTCTTTTTCTC